AGCCAGCATGGAGGAGTAGGCCAAAAATTTCCCACTGGAGCTCCCTCTAATGAAGGTCCTTTCGACAGCAGCGCTGTGTGCAAGCAATTTCAGGGCTGTGCCTTTACCCCTCTGCTGTTCTCTCTATGCATCCCTTTAAACGTACGTAGTCAAAAACTTGCCCATTTAGCCAGAGAGACTTCTGCATTGGGGCAATTAGAAACTTTGTTAAGGCTGGTACGGTGCACAAGGGAATCCCAGGTCAGGGTACGACATAAATAAATAAGTAAAAACAAATGCACACACATATGTACTGACAAAAGATATAATCTCGTAAACTGTTGTGGCAATATATTCTTGGTTCTTTCGGTAAAGTCACGTAGAAGGGAAATAATAAAATAATAATAACAACAAGAGAATGTTATTGTTTAATTTTTATTATTTTATGATTTCCCTTCTACGTGACTTTACCGAAAGAACCAAGAATATGAATCCCTGCAGTCACGAAAGCTTTAAATCGAAATTTAAAATCTGTTGTGACAAGTTTTGTTAGCGAGCGCCTGTTTAGGTTGGCACATATGGTGGTGTCTGAGCACCACACGGGGCTGCCTTTGTCTCCCTTGTGCTGATGTTTACACATCAGGTACCTAGTTAAGGCAGACTCGACCTAGGTGAGGCGCAGGACGAATCAGATATCCTTCACCACTCATTTGAGCCATGGCCGGGAAACAAACCCCTTTTGCAGGGTTTCGTAGCTCAATTCGCGAACCACTTTGCCACCATTCCCCACAAACACACACACCTCTGTATATGAGTAAGCCCAGGCTGGGAATTGAACTCTGCTAAACAGTGCAGTGTGCCAATCAGTGTGCTTTCGAGTGTGCTAACCACTGCTGCTCAGTATGCATGCGCACGCACGTACACAAGTTTGCACATTCCCGTACGTACGTAGGTACAAATGTGCTTACATATATAAACCATAATGTTTGCTTATTTCTGGAACAATTCATCTATCTCCCCACAATGGACTTAACTGAATCTGCAAAAATACGCAGGCTTATGAATGCTGTCAGAGGACACTGCTTGCATGCTCCCATATGGGCAGCGTGTGGATTTAATAAGGGCCATGATAATGATAAGTGAACATGACTTGCAGTCCAACGTGAAAACGCAGTGTTTCTGTGCTCTGCGAAAGCATGGAATATCATAAGCGACGAAGCCCAAAAGCGGCCAACCGTCATTTATAAGAACAATGAAGAAGAGCCGTGCATATGCATGGCTTCCGCAACGCGTTCCAACGTGCATTTGTCCTCGGAAGTACTTCATGCGATGCCATCGGCTTTTTATTAATGCAACAACGACAGCAACAATTAAAAAAACTCAACACTTGCATAAATAACACTGCCTACTAAAATAAAATAAAATGTATATATAGTAGACGACATTTTCGGAAATGGCTTTTCTGCAGAGTACACACGAGTAGGCCAGAGAGATAGAGTGCTGTGAAGGAGGTTCATTATTGCCTAAAAATGTTGCCTTTTTTCCTTTTTTAGGTCACAGCGTTATTAACAAATGTGATGAGGTTTTTTGTTTGTTAATTGTGCTTGTCCACCACTGCCAACGCAGCAGCATCGAGAGGTATCATGACCCCCCTGCTACAGACGGACAGACGGACAGAGTGAACGCAAATACCGCTAACATCCTTCATCGAAAAGCATTCAAAAGCAATGCTTTTTGCTTCCAGGTACAGCCTCACCTGGCATAGGCAGCAGATAAAAATCCTCAACAGGGACTTTAACTTTCTCCGACAGCGTTTAATTTGTATCGGCCCTAAGCAGCCTTGGCGGTGAGGCTTTGCTTCGGGTCAGCACGTGGCTGTGATGAGTAATTTCGTTTATGGGCGCCCCGCAATTGGCTTTCCCTAATTATTGGCTGAAAATGCCTTGCCGTACTGCAAAGGAACAGAACGTTATTGTTGCCTCTGTGAGTGTGTGTGTGCAATCGTGTGTGTGTGTGTGTTTCTTGTGTGTGTGTTTCTTATGTATTCGCGTGAGAGTGGTAGCGTGATTAGGGCACCGCGCTCTGATTTCAACCAACCGAATTCAATTTCTGGCACGACTCATAACAAAAGTCTCATTCTGAAATATAGAATCTGAACTTGCTCTAGGCCTCCGTTAGGTCAACTCAGCCGAAAATAAGTAATGCATCTGCTTAGGGCTGGATTAAGGTTGATGGGGGCCTGGGACTGTAACAGAGCTTTGGGGACTTTAACTGTCTCTTAAACTTAATACGTTTATAGAGTTTTACCACCACGCATACTCGATGCCAAACACTTCATTGTTATTCCTCAGCTCCGATTAGTACGGTTGGCTGCGTACGGTGCAAAAGAAGTTCAACATACATATATGCTTATTTCAATTATTGTGTTTAAATGTGATTGACATAAAGCTAAATCAAAGCTAAAACTATTTTATATTCGGCACATTACTGGTAAAATTACGCATAGTGACGTTCCGCGGCCTAATTACCAAAATACATATATAGGCTGCATTACAGTGCTAGAGTAGTACATTTCAAACCAAACTATTTTTATTTTACCAGGTAAGGCTCACTGAGCTATATAACTCTTTTTCAGAAGCGACCTGCCCACAAATGATAGTTCGACAAAGTGGCTTATCATGTGTAAATTCATAGCAGCCAAATACTCCAAACGCACATCGTTGATTCTAAACGTTGAGGGAAAAACTGGAGGACCTGGAGAAAAATCCACGTGACCACAGGGAGAGAGGCACACAAACTCCAAACATACAGCAGGCGTCAGGGTCGGGATCGAACCCACGTCTTCCTCCGTGCCAGGTGAAGGAGTTAACGCCTCGCCACTGCGGCATCCCAACCATTAGAAAGCCTTTGGTGGGGGGAGGAACGGAGGGGGGAGCGGGGAAAGAGGGGGGACCCCTCATAATATGAGATCCCAAGCTGCTCCCGCGAGGAAACCCCTGCGTTAATCTGGCTGTGCACCGGGTACAATGTGAGCAACACCACTGGGGAAACCACGACGACAGTGACGTGTGAAGCAGGCCCCAAAATCCCCTTGTGTGCTGTGCCAGCCTTAATAGGCGCTCACTAACAAGACACTTCCCTGGCAATCAGCAAGGGCGAATGAGGGGGAATGATTTGTCTCCGTGTGCAATCCAAATGCGTTTGCGCCGTGCGAGCGTGAGCCAGTAGCTATGGGCAGCGTATCTCATTGCACACATTTTCAATTGTAATGAATTTAAATGTGAATGCACCAGAACGAAGTGCGTTGTCAAAGGGTCGTGTGTGTGCCTCTGTGTGTGTGCTGTGACATTTTTACATGCCCAAAGCAAGGTGCCAATGCACATGTAGCTGTACACAGTATGCGTTTTGCAAATTTGACAGTAATCTATAGCCCTTTGTCAATACACTGCTGGATGAAGGTCCCCCCCCCCAATGCTCGGTTTATTGTGGAGGTTGTTTGTCCATACTTCACCGTACTGGTCAATGCGGGTTGATAAGGGGGGGGGGTGGCAGAACACGTTAAAATATAGCTCGTAAGTTGTGTTAGCTATGGCTGGGAAGCGAATTCAGATTGCCTGGTTCCTATCACAGCGTTGAAACCACTGCACAAGCCCACTCCCCTCAGCATCTCAATAACTCTACATTAATCTACCCAGCACTCACCACCCGTGAATCCTCTTATTAAATGTCAACGTGCGCTAATCAAAATTTATGTAATTGAATAAGCACATAAATTAGCTTCATTAAAGTTTTATAAACTCATTATTGGATTCTTTTCTTTTCCTGTCTCCCCTGACGAGATGTGACAACCACCCGTGGTGCTTCGTGAATGGGTAATGGAATTTGCTTGGAAAAAAAATACAAAGCGCTGCTCACAGGCGTGTAACAACGTGTTGATTATATTAACAATAATAGGGTTTTCCCCTTTTTTCTGGCAACAAAACTGAAACCTTTTTTTACGAGGATTCTGCATTAGCCACAATACTTCCAGTCAAAATGCAAACAAAAAACACACTATGATAATATATGCATTGTCCTTGAAACTGATTGGTCCACACCAGAGATAGCTATCTTGTTTTTGGACCAATCAGTTTCAAGGACAATGCATATATTATCATAGTATGTTTTTTGTTTGCATTTTGACTGGAAGTATTGTGGTTAATGCAGACATGAATCCTCGTAAAAAAAGATTTCAGTTTTGTTGCCAGAAAAAAGGGAAAAAACCCTAATACTATATTTTGGTACTGGCAAAGGAGGTTCAATGGTGAACGTGTATCTTAATCGATTATTATCTTTTTTTGCATACTTCCTTAACTAGGAGAGCCTTACCGAGTCTCAAGACTTTTTTTGTCAGGAGAGTCCTGCCAAGTATTGACAGGAGGGGAAGGTGCTGCTCCAGTGTGTGATCCAACTTAAGTCATTTGCAGGTATTCTTCTTCAGAATTGGGATGTTTTGGCCAATGCCAGTCACTTTGTATGTTTATGGGTTTTTGCTTGTTTTTTTTTGCTACGGGAGGAAAACAGAGATCCCAGAGGAAACCCATGCAGAACAGGGGGAGAAGATACAAACTCCACATATAAATGGTGCCCCAGCCGGGAATCGAACCCAGGGACGTACTGCTGCGTGGCACGTCGTGCCCTTCCCCCGCACCTCCGATTGGCACGGTTGGCTATGTACGGTGTGAAAGAAGCTCAACATACACATATACAAGCTTTACCACTGATTTGGGCGGCATGATTGCCCAATGATTTGGGAGGCACGCTGGCACAATTATTCGGGCAGCATGGTGGCGGAACTGAAAGGAAATTAAACTATGGTGAGCATGAACGAAGTGCGTGGCACAGGTGGTTCACGGCGCCTGCACCGTGCACACACACACACAGAGCAAGGCTGTGTGATTGCGAGCGTAGAGGGGGCTGGTGGAGGGGTAGGGAGGCGAAAGATGGGGGGAGGGGGGGGGTGCTCGCGGGGAGATAAGTACCGAGCCATCAGCTGATCCCGCATCCTTCATGCCTGCTGGTGCCGCTCGGTTCTTGGGCTCTGATGGAGAACCCTAGCAGAGGAAATGACAAAGATCCAACCGTATAGCTTACACAGACTGCTGGGGCGAGTGCTGTTGGTCAGTGCCGATTATGAGCAGAAAAAAACACACGAGTGATGGCGTGGCGAGGACCACATTTCCTTTGTCTCTTTATTGCACTCGATACTCGTTTAAGGTTGAGTCAACCTAGGGGAGACCCAGGACCGTTTGGATATCACTCTCATCTGATGCTAGCCATGGCCGGGAATCGAACCCAGTTTTAAAAGTTTGTAGCACGATGTGCTAACCACCGCTACACATGCACACACGCACACCTTTGTAACGTATATACACACGCATGAACACGCACATATACAAGCACAAACACGTGCACATATTAGCTGTGTACAGGTACACAAAAAGCCATGCAAAGCCTTGTTCATTGCACAAATGCTGTTAGTGAGCACCGATTAAGGGAGAAAAAACCCCAACACATTCATCAACAGAACTGCCTTTATAATAGGCAACGTTCCGGGCAACAGCCCTTCCTCACGGCACATTTGCTCTGAAGAATGGCGATCGCCCTTCTGCTGCACACGCACTACCACCACCACCACTGCCGACGCAGGCGTATGGAATTTTTGTAGGGGTATCGGGGCCAGCCAACACACACACGCCCAGCTGTGCTTGTCTCCCGAAGTACTATAATTGAGCACAACACAAAAGGTATTCATTACAGGCCGAGTAAATCTAGGTGAGGCCCAGCCCAGTATCTAACAATTGCTCCTATCAATTATGTCTGCTAAATGCGGTTGATTAGTTTTTGCTGTATTCTTTCCAGCACAAACACCAAGTGCATTCTACGGCGGAATCGGGTACTGGCAGCGGAAGGAGGATCAGTGTTTTTTTTCATTCGCTCATTCGTTCACTCGCTCCCTGGCTAGCTAGCTCATTCATTTATGAATGAAAGCCTTCAATGAGCATTTCTCAAATTCCGACCTTGCCACCCCTCCCATGACCCAGTGTTCCAGGTCTAACAATCATCATGCACATTAGCACAGTGCTGAGCGCCTCATTTGCATGTGAATTGAGTGGCTTTTGTAAACAAAAGGAACCTGGAGGGTTGTAGTCGTGGTGGTGAGGGCGGTGGGGGTGGGTACGGTCAGGGGGGAAGATGACATTACTGTGGTTGTGAGAAGCCACTGCCTGAAATGACCTTTTCATGCCGCGCCTCTATGGAGGACCGCAATCGTCCGACTGCAGCGCCACGACCAGTTGAGTTTAAAGATTTAAATAAGTGAACAGTAGAAAGACAACGTGCAGCAGAAGCAATTGGTCAGCGTGATTGATTGTCGATGCGCCCCAGGGGCATTTTGAAAACTAATTTCTTTAGAACTATATTCTTTCGGTAAAGTCACGTAGATAGAAAAATCTATAAAAATAATAACAATATCACGACGTTTCGATCCCAACACAAGCAATCATCATCAGGTGAAAAAAGAAGGGGAAAGCTGCTGAGGCACGCTGTTTATAAAGGTTTAGAGATGGGCGGGGAAGCGGATGTTAATGTAGGAGAGGGCACCGACACCGCGAGGAGGTCTACACCAATCAAAGAGCTGTTTACAAAGGTTTAGAGATGCTTGTAAATGTAAGCTCGGTGAGAGCTAGGAAAGAGCCATCGCCACATGGACGTGGAAAAGGATGGCAAGCCGCCATTTACTAACACAGCTAACGGTGGCTGTGTTTAGTTCTCACGTTTACAGTGTAAGCGGAATGATGGGCAATCAAAGATGGATTGGTGAATCGGTGGACGATTTCTTTCGCTAACCAATTGTTTATAAAAAGAAATGGATGAATTAGGCTTTAAAGTTTCCACCGCCTTAAAATCTATATTTCACTTTATTTAGGTGTGACTGCATGCGTGACTGCATCACCAGTTGTTGCTAAAGTCACCCTCCCTCCATCCGGCCTGTAGACTGCTGCTCGTGTTATCCTCCTGCTGCTGCTGCTGCATGGGCCGCCTGTCCTACTGCTTGGCGGTTGGCACAGAGTCACAATCTGTGAGCGTCGCAGCAGCACTCGCTGGTAACATTCACCATCGTGTTACTCGCCACTCCCAACCCGCTGTTTGCCCGCGTGCTCTGCTGGAGACCGACCCGAAGGCGGGTGTCAGAAGCAGCAACTGGCGACGAGGTCAAGCGTGCAGTCGCACTCGCGTGAAGTGTAAACATGGGAAATGTACTGACTACGTGCGATATGATTTCCAGACAATTCTGTTAGGAATCATCCCATTTCTTTTTTTTTACATTTTTTACCTGCTCCTGAAGTCTGCCCTGAAAATCCCCAGGCCTCCCTTCTCCCGCTCTAAACACCCTCCCACCGTCGCACGGCTTTAAAAGAATGTGCGCGGTCTTAGGCGGCCGGGTGGCTCAGAAGTCAAAGCACTTCTTCTTTTGTATGGCTTTTGTTGATGCAGAACAACAACTGCAATCTGACATTCAGGTGGTCAAGCTAGCAAACCGCGTCAGGAGCAGCGGAGTGTATCGCTGTGATGTCTCTGTATTTATGGATTTGGCATTGCAGCGTCGAAGCACTGAGATGGTAGTCCTGGACTCTTGGGTTAAAATCCAGGTAGCCACTTGTGATTAAATAAGATTCTCACACGTAGAGTCGATGGTCTCAATGACTTCACCGAAATGGCATCTGTTCCTGCGTTTAATTTTACTGAATTAAAGCTGTAGGAATATAAAAAGAATGGTTAGAATAGAAAGCGATGAACATCCCTCTCCGTAGTAGATGCGGGTGAAAAGTTCTGCCGTCTATGCCAATTGAAGGGACCTCGGAGGTAGCGCTGCAGTGTTCGCTTCCATGGGCCCGCTCTCAAGCACGAAGGAGCTGCACCGCTCTGCGAGAGATTTGAATGGACTCTTGGTCTCGTTAGACGACCCTGATATACAATGGGGCAAAAAATTGGGGAAAATCACAATTTTTAAGAATGTGCAGAAGCTTCACAAAATACCCACAAATATTTCTACAAGACAGCAAAGCGAGCTCTATCGAATATAACCCGACCAACCGGCCAGGCTGGGTAGACTGCATGATTCCACAGTTGGGTGTGGTTTGTTGTCGTTATTTAATCGCAATCATTCACATGCACGATCGACATTAAGTTCCCGCTGGCCACACAGTAACCTGCCAAATGTCATGGAATTTACAATGAAATGTGCGTGCAATATTTCGTCTTATCAAAGACTTGTTCCACCTTATGGCGACAGTGGTGCGTGTGGTGCAAAGGAGGGTTATTTTCTACTTTGATCCGAGTACTCGAATTGGCGCAGCAGCACAATTGGGGTTGTGGATGTAACGCCGCACTCCGTCTCTGGCCAGTATTCATGAGGTTTCACCGAGTCACTGAATGCGGCATCGTTTTAGCATCGGCATTGCCGAGGCTGTGTTTTGTCACCCCGTCTTGTTGCGGTGCCATCGTGAAGTTTTAACAGAATCGCTGTTTGCCTTTTGGCGACCACTGGTCTAACACCGTTTTGAGACTAGGCTCAAAAGAAAGCTGTCTCTGGTGTGGACCAATCAGTTTCAAAGACAATGCATATATTATCATAGTGTGTTTTTTGTTTGCATTTTGAGCACAAGTATTGTGGTTAATGCAGACATGATTCCTTGTAAAAGGTTTCAGTTTGGTGTTTTAACATCTTAACACCTGTTTTGTTGCAAGAAAAACAGGGAAAACCTATTCTCAGAATCTTCAATGTACAATAATTTGCGAGTGCCGTGGTCAAAAGAAATCATTTCAAAGAACGGTCCTTTAAAAATGATTGCCCTGATATCAGCCACAATATTGGTTTAGCCCCAACGTCAGTGCGGGCCGTGAAAATCGCATATAGTTGGTCTGTTTCTCTCTGCATCTCTCTCTCCATGGTGTCCGATCCAAGCAATTTATTGGGCCAAAACCCTGCATAGCTTATGAGATGAGACGACAATGCGGGGCACCCTGGGGCTTACGGTACCCGAGTAAAGTGACACATCAGGATATTCTGATTGGCGAAACCGCAGTGGTCTAAAGCTCACACACCTGAGGCTATTGCGTCTTAAGAGGGGGGCCCCCGCATGTTGCAATGAACTGAAAATGGATTCGTACAAAAGAAGCTGATGATACTCCGTACGTAGGCAGAAGTCCTCACAATCCGCGACAAGGGGATACATTGCACGCATACCCGCGGAAATTGAATGCTTTAGATCAAAAAGTCTTACTCCATCGGCATCGCGAGCGGACTTTGCTATTCGCTCGTGCACACTTCACGATGGAGAAGGTAGCATTCTCTCTCTTTCTCTCTGCAGTATTACACGATGTAACACGATTTTTGTTCCTGGGTCGTAAATGTTATTTCCTAATTGCTTATATGCCTCAAAAGTATAGAAAATGGCTATTATTATACCCCACAAACATTGCTTTTGTGACCAGGACTTTATGTGAAGGAATGACACAAATGCACACCACGTTTTCTCATTGAAAATAGGTACATTTCAAAATATCACTGTCCTGGTCACAAAAGCAAAGTTTGTGGGGAATAATAGCCATTTTTTAGTACTTTTGAGGCATACGCAATCGGAAAAAAACACTTACTACCCAGGAACAATTTTTTTTGTTACACAGTTTTATTGTCGCCGACTCATGCTGGCAAAAGGAATCAATTTAAGCGGCATGGGGCGGCGGTGGTGGTTGTTGGGGGGGGGGGTCGCTAGCTAGCAGGTCTTTCGTGGATTCCTAATTGGAGGGGGAGGAAGGTGGGGGGCTCTTCGGTCTCCTGCTCCGCCGCGACTCACGTGCCGGCGTCGTGCCCCCAACCTCCCTGAATGAGCCCCCCGAGCGCGAGTTCTGTCGTTGGACGCCCGCTCGCATCGCCCCGTGCGTTCGCACACACGTGCTTAGTGCGATGGTGTTTCTAAATCTGGGGCACGATACAAAATGCCGTGCCTGTCCATGTCCGTGCTGAGTCTTGGCTCATTCCTCTATTCAC